ACCTCGTCTTCTCGTTGAGACAAATGCACCAAAATCCAGGCAGCCTGAACAGAAATGTCAATGCAACCGGTTTGGAGTTGCTGGGACGCTTGAATCACTGTCAACTTTTTGTTGGAGCAAACCCCTACTGTAGACTTGATTCGGAATGTCATGGAACGATTGTATCAGGTCTGTGAAGGCGCACAGCAGCAAAAATCAGGTACAAATAATCCAACAACCACAAATCCACTTTCCCCAGGACGACCAAATTACTTCCATCATCCACTACTGGAGCCCTGTTTGGAAGTCCTTGGGCACTGGTCCAGCGGAAGTAATGGAAGGCATGTCCCACGTTTGTTAGCAACCACGCCACCCACAAGTTGTGTACAACAGGAGCTGTCATTGCTACCATTGCTTGAAACACTGATACAATGGGGCCAACAGGGCCTTTTGATGCAAACAGACTATCTACAAGTCTTGTGGCTATCTGGCTGCCTACTGTGCGATGCCGGACTCCCCAATCATCCGTCCACCAAATTGGCAGCAACTACCTTGTTGCCTTTGCTGACCAGGGGATTGGTCGACAGCCCCAACAATTCGCGTGCAAATTCTCTGGAGTGCAAGCGAGAAGGTGTGCTTGCATTGTGGAATGCCGTGAGTGCGCCGCCGACCGAAGTCGACGAAGAACCAGTCCTAATGTTGGCTACAAAAAAGTTCATGTTGCGACGGGTCCTTTCGGCATGTTGCAGTGGTGACGGTAGCACAGATGGGGAAGATTTGGACAGTGAAAGCGTTTACACAGTCCTCATGGCCTTGAAAAATATATTGCAGTGTCAAGATGTCGATGCAATGCTGGCTTCTATGCATGTTTTGAATGCTATACTTCGGCTGATACCCGATAGCAGAATCACATTTATGGAAGTCAATGGTGATGAAGCCCTCGAGATGATTTGTGATTTGCCTCTTGGCAACGATCAATCTGGTGCCGAAGCAGCTGACATGGCCGCAAATCTGATTGATGACTTTTTTGATATCGATGGAATGAATGATGACCAGTTTTCTGACTTGCAGCCTCCTCAACTGGGAGACACATTTGTGTTTGGATTGGACCCAGAGATGCAAGAGTCAACGTTTGATTTTGATTCAATTTTTCTGCCCAGTGACAGTATGTTGACGAATGATGCTGGTTCTGCTTCTGGAAGCTTTCCAGCCATTGCTCCAGTTACATCAGTAGGGGAACCCATGGCTTCAGGAAATGGTCGTGGACGGGGGAGAGGTCGAGGCCATGTCCTTCCGGCGTGGGCTCAACAACAGCAGCACCAATCCCAAAGTTGACAATTGTTTTTTGTTCTGCCTTGAGGCGCCACTTTGACGTACTGATACGCAACGCGTACTCGCTAATAAACAGCCTCCATGGCTTCTATCGATGCGAGGCTCATGTTGAGGGTAGATGAGGGAAACCGAGGTAGTATTAAATATTTACATTAGCTAGTAGTAAACAATTTCTTGGCCTCATATTTACCTTTACTACCTCATGTTTGGTGTCAACTCCGCTCTCTGCTCACCTCCTCCCAAGCTGAAACCTTGCGAAGAAAAAAGCCTCACTTTTCAGAAAAACGAAGACAAACATCACCCTCATCTCTCCAACCTCCAACAGCAACTTGAAACCAAGCTTCACAGAACTACGTCTGCTATGATGAGCCGTGACGAAGAAGAAAGGATGGAGTCTCCATCAGCTGTGGTGGCAGTCGTCGCCTCGAGTGATGATGATACCGATGTCGACATTGAAATGGGTTCATTGCCGATTATTGAGCTTCCCGAATCCTTGAAGTCTCTTTCGTCTCCTTCGGTGTGTGATGAGAGCAGTGTAGATGGTAGTGGTGCTAGTATTAGGAATGCCTTGGCTGTTGTTCAGCCTCCCCCAGGCGACGATGGCATGATTAACCCGGTAGATCTTGAATCTACACTGATTGCCAACCTTGTGACGACACCAGACCACCATAGTCATCGAAAGCCAGCAACAGGCTCTGTTCATGATCCACAACCAAGTATTACCGTTAGCAGTGAATCGAGTCAAACTGATCTCCCTCTCAGTCAGCGAAGGGCCGAGTTCATTAGTGCTACAATATCTAAACCAAGCAAGAACACGCCCATTGGCTTGGAACTGATCGACAAAGACGATAATGTCATTATCTCGGCCATATCACCCGGATCATTGACCAGCCATACTCCATTTCACGTTGGAGACCGACTGTTGTCAGTCAACACGAAACGCTGTTATATTTTAGAATCAAAGGATATTACTAAGCATTTGGATTCTCTGGAGGGGTCGATCACCATAGTTGTGCACAACCAAGAGGGCGATCCCAATCTGGTGGAGAGCATGATCACGAAACCTGTGGATGAGAGTCGGTGCGGTCTGGGATTGGTCTCAGCTGGTCAAAGAAGGTTAAGGGTCTCCCAGATTGACGCAGACGGGTTGTTTTTTGATTCCCTGCTCAATGTGGGTGATCCCATTCTGTCCATCAATGGAGAAAATTGCGAATTCTGTGATGCCGCAGACGCGGGCGAGATGATTGCGAGAGCAGGTCGAATTATTACCATCAAGGCAAAAACGTTGTTGGAGACAGGGGTGGTGGTTGCCGCCTTCTCCGTCAACAACTCTATTGGGAGTACAATTCCTCCTCAAGTTATCAATGCCATGAACAGGGCCCAAGCCAACGAACCATCCATGAATCAGGTGATGGGATTGTTCCTTTCCGTCATACTTATGATTGGTGTGGTATTGATCATGGGATTGTTCAAGTGAGTGGTTCTTGCAGCTCAAACAAGAGGGAGTCTTGGCATAGCTTGGGTAGCTATTTACACATTTTGGGTGGTTTTGTTGTGCTATACGTAGCATGCTTCATCAGTTTCATCTCGTCTTTTATTTGGTACCGGACACGAGTACCTTCTGGCTGATCATCATGCTAGTTTAGCCCTGCATACGGAAACTCTACTACAGGTGAGATTGGAAGGTAGAAATAAATGAAATCTAGACTATGTACTCTCGGAAGGACTCGACTCGACTCGACTCAAACTGTGCCGCTTGGTGGAGTTGAGTACATGTATGTACAGTAGCACGAACGCGTAAACGTAAACGAGAGAGTTCCAAAAAAGGTATCACACTTGCTCCTCTCTCTCACTTCAACTTTCAAGATCGCCGGTGTCAACTGGTTGGTTGCGCAGATGAGCAGATGAGTGTTGGTAATTGGAACAGAATCAGCCTCCTAGTCTGGCTAGGCGACAAATATTATTTGCAAGCATCAGTCAGAGAATATCCATTAGAAGATGACAGCTTTGAGATTGGACCTTTTCAAGACCCTGGTGTCATTATTTCTCATCTTTGCCACCATCTGCCATGGTTTTTCCTCAAGCCCATCATTTCGTCCCGTAAGGAGTTCTTCCCGGCTTCAACTTTTCGATTTGAAGTCAATATTTTCCTCCTCTGATACAGACAAAACAACTGCCAGTAGTAGTGTCACTGAGGTTGACAGCTTAAAAGGTCAAGTGGAAGAATTGATTATTGTAACCCAGGGCAAAGCAGCTGCAATTCACTTGTTGGATCCAATATTCGAGCAAATTGAATCTCAAAACACAGTGGAAGCTCCCAATCGGGACCCAAATTTCAAAGGACGATGGCATGTGTGGTTCACAGATTGTCCACCACCATCCAATGGTCAGCTGGGTCCATTCCAAGGAAGTGCCGAACAAGACATTGTCGCCCAAGGGAACGAGTACAACAACATTTTGAGACTGCCATCCAATAGCCGTGATGACCAATGGCTAACGGTTGTTTTGGATGGAATTTGGGAAGATTGGGACGGAAAGGAGCTCTCTGATGGTGATGATAGTGACAGTAGTACTGGTGGTAGTTTTTCTACCCCATTAGAAGGAACGGATTGGGGAGCCAAGTATTGGAAGGTGACATTTTTGAGACTCAACTTTAGTCTGTTTGGCAACCTGTTGCTCTCGAAAGACTTTCCGGCCGGGGTTGCAAGAGTTTGGCGAAGTACCTACTTGGACGACGATACAAAAATAGTGCGCGCCTCGAGAACAGGTCGGCCAGACGATGAGAGTGTCTTCTACATGAAACGATCTGTGAGGCCAAACAAAAACTAGCTACATCTAGATCAACAAACAGATAGATGCATAAACCTTGCCATACGGTAGACCCAGTTTCAGTTGTAGTGGATGGGCATGAAGGTTGAACTTTCCAATGATACCAACTATGTGACGTGTGCTGGCTTCCCTTTTCATGCATCCAAAGACCACGGCAAAGGTACTCTCAATAGTTTGGTGTGTAGTGTTGACTGCAGTTGCTACTCTCTTTACTGCTGTGGATTGTTTTGTTTGTAGTAAGATCTCGCCATTGTCGACGAATGGTACAGGAGTGATTTGTTGCGTGTGTTGTATGTGTGTGTTCGGAGATAATTTTTATCGTTTCAAATTGTTCAATCGGGCTTCCAAGTCGCTCAGTGCGGAATCGCCACCGCCGCCACCACCGCCGTCACCACCCACTGCTGCGGCAGCTGCAGGGACCTTTTCTGGTGTTGCTGCAGTGGGAGTTGCCAGCGACCCAAGTCCTGCAGCATCGGGAACCTCTTCTGCCATGGAAATGCCAATTTCATCCAGAACTTGTCCAACAATTCGATCTTCCTCCTCTTCTGCGTTGTCGTCTTGCATAGCATCGTCAATGGCGTCTCCCATTATTTCTGTTGCATCAACAAGAAGAGTTAGATTACCAAATCCATTCAAACAGCAGATTGGCTGTCAACAACCAAGAAAAGCAGCCAGCAACGAAAACTAACTCACCTTGCATCATTTCTGTCTTGGCATTTTCCTTTTCAAATTCGGCCATCATCTTGGTAATGGAGGACACATTGACCACCTTGTTCATCTTGTACATGGCCTGGGCTGTGCTGGACATGGCCTCTGCCATTGCTTGGTGACTCTTGACTGTCTGCAATTTCAAGGCGGTTCCTTGCAGGTGACTCCTCATTTCAATGAATTTGGCAATGTATTGTCGTGTGCGGACAAGGTCCTTTTTGTTTGGCATGGCGACAACACGATAGATAGATAAGTCAGAACCACTGCGACAGACGCACGTACAAGCACTAGTTTCGTCATTTATTTACTCACCTTGGCCATGATCTTGACGGACGCCATTTGATTCGCTCTGGCGGCCTTTTTGATTTCCATCGTCAAGCGTTGTTCTTCCCGTTCCAGCCCCTGCTTTTCTCTGTCCAATTCTCGAACGGCCCGATTGATCATGCGCTTGTTTTCACGCAAAACCTCCTTCAGAGGCTTCTTCTTGCCCATGACATTGCCCATCTTTTGTGTCTTTTTGGTTGTTGGCTTGGTTTGTTTCGTGTGGTGGGTTGTTCCTCTTCTTCTTCTCCTAACTAGCAGTTGTCTATTTAGCTTCTTCGGTTTAGTTTCTTTGTTTCTTGCTTGCTGGTCTTTGTTGTTACTTGCCGGTCGAATGGTATGTGGTTCACCGTCGGTTTCTACGCCATTGTGAGGTAAGCAAAATGCCGTTCCCAACGGATTCGATTCTAAATCGTGTTTACGTTAGTCGTGGTTGAGTCGACCTTCCTCCGGGATTGAGTGCTATTCCGATCTCTCGTCAAAAGACACACTGAGGCGCCGTTGTGGTATTGGCCCTGTTTGCTCCAGTTTGCTACCCGATGGTGATCGGCATTCCAGCTAGCAAGCCCGATCCCGCCGCCATCTCCAAGCTGTGTCAACGTACCGGTTCTGATTGCAGTCCAGAGAGGGGCGCTGTCTCTGTAGATCCGCTGGCGCACATGGATGCAATGAAAGGAGGTTGGATGCATCCATCACCCCAGCAAAATGAGGTTCACAATCAAAATAGTTGCCCTATCTTACCTACTTACCCAACCTTTCGATGAAACTGACTTGTTTACTGTTCATTGCAAGAGAACTGCTGAACAACCATGGAGGCAGCCTCCGCGCTCTGGTTGCAGGTGTATAATGTTATTGAGATGGCTGGCTTTGTGATAGAAGTCGGACAGCTTCAGCCCACAGCTAGCTGCGGTACAATAGGTGATCGACGGACGATTCCTTGAAAGTACTGGAAAAGTACGATTTCTTTCTTACGAGGGTTTTCCTCTCCTGGCAGGGCATGGAGTTTCAGCACGGCAACATGATCCACCACATCATCCTTTTGCGTAGGGGTGCAGAGAAGCGGTACGGGTAGCATGTCACCTTTCGCATGCACGAAAACGGGTACTTGCTCCCGAAAGTAGTCTCTGCCTCCCTTCTGAAAACACGGAAAGGGGTTGCTCAGTCCTGTGAAGCATGAAGGTGCAGTGCTTTTCGTCGGTTGCCTGAGACACGAAGGTTTCTGTACCGTAGCTGCCAAAGTCGCCTTTGGATACCGCTACCAATGCCAAACAGACAATACCCCCAACACCCAACACAGAAGGAGCGAAGTCGAGTCCTGTGAGGCGTGAAGATGCAATACTTTCGTTGGGTGCGAGTGCGTAGATGGATGGAGGTTCTGTACCGGAGCATCAAAAAGTCACCTTTTTCAGAATATTCAAGTACAGAACCACCTCTTTTCAAACACTGCCTGCCTGGGTCCTGTTGGAGCGGGGGGAAACAAGGTCAAAAGTACCATACCGGTACCGGTACCGGTGGTCTGCACGGAGTACAGTCTACTCTCTCTTATACTTATTATTCTTATATTTATTTCTCTCTTGTATTTATGCTTTCATAGAGTGCCCCCCCCTGAGTCACCAGTTACTAATGACTCAAGCTTAAAAGGTGAGGGCATTTCATGCAGTTGTCAAGATTCCTCAGCAGTGGCATGGCAATCCACCATGGTAGGCAGTCCTAGGAAAGCAAAGGGGCCACCATAGCTGAAGTGGGTGTTTAAAAAGGCATTTGAGCCGTTCCAAGAGAGCTCCACGAGCTCTTCACTAGGAAATAGCTAGACAAAATTGTTATGTTTATTCTCTCTTATATTTATACTTATCTGAATGCACACCCAATAAACATAAGAGAGAATAGACTGTACCGGTACATTCGAAACAACTCGAGAGATTGCAGAATTTCTGAGTCGAGTACATTACAGCGTACAGTAACATAAGTCAAGTCGAGTCGAGTCGAGTCGTAAAAAGAAACCGCGCCGAGCTTTCACTGGTACAATGTGCACTCGACTATTAATACACATGCATACCGGTACTAGTACCGATAGCACACACTTAGAAAGTACGATAAGTAACATCTATTTTCCTGATTAAAGCGATTTAAAGAAATTTTAAAAATGTTTTTGGAGAACACGTATCTTAATTTCATTCTTGTGGAGTTCATTCTTTGTGGTCCCCAATGTGTCAGTTGTATATTGACAAAAGGTCTCGAGATAGTCCTGTCGCGTCGTCGTAGTTGTATTGGCTCAACAAAATTACAAAAATGATCAGAAAGAAGCCCAAGCACCACCCTTACTGGGGTACCCGTACTTACTGGCGTATTGGTACCACCGGTACCGGTACTGGCTTCTGGCTTCTGGCTTCAGTCTTGACGACAAATTTTCGTTTGTGGTTCTGCTACGGAACTGGAGCAGCTATTAGTGTTGTCCACCTGATTGCAAGAGCTCTGATGATATCCTCATTTTGGAGACTTGTTGACACTCGCAACGAGAGAAGGTTAGGAGACAACGTTGCCATACGATGCAAGCTGAAGATATGGAGCAGCCCAGTGTCGCCTTCGTGGGAGAGCAACCACAGAACGATGTTTTTACTGAAGACCCCAGCAGTCGTTACTTTGGACAGCCGATACAGAATGTGCCCACTCGCGAAGATGACTTTATGAGAGACGAGAGTATGCTCTCTCATGCACAGCAGCAATCGAACAGTGTGGTTTTTGAGAATGTGGCCTTTGTGGGGTGGCAGGTGGGAGGAGGCCATTTGTCCTTGGTCCGTCGAGGCTTTATCTTTCACTCCCCGCCTGGTGCTCCTCAAGAGAAACTCAAGCTGAAAATCCGATGGAAATCGGTTGTCAAGATCAAAACCAACAAACGAGCCGAGGACCGATACTTGCTCAAGGTAGTAACAAAGTACAACGATGATTTGATATTTGAATTCCAGAGCAGACAAACGATGGATAATGCTCGAGTCCGTATGCTGCTCAAGTTGGAAGCAAGCCAAAAGGACAACGACAAGGAAGGCAATGACGACGTTGAACCGTTCTCAGCTCCAGAGAGAACCCAATACACCAACGTGGGCTTTCAAGGCCAGCGAGGTGGTCGTCTTGTGTTGGATGGGTATACCATAACTTACATCAATTCGCAAGGGGTTAGCACGGCTAGCTGGGAGTGGCAAAACCTCACCAAGTACAAGATCAACAAAGCCACACACGGTACCCCAATGCTTCGAATCATTGATGTCCAGAACAACTCGTTCACATTCCAGGTAAGTCCAGCGAACTTGGTAACCAAGCGTTGTGCCACAATCTCTCACCCTTTTTCTTGATGCGACTCCCGAAAGATGAAAAATCACATGGACAAGGAACGAGTCAGAGAGGATATCAGGAATCGGGTTGGTGGCAGTGAATCGCTGCCTGAGGAACAAGCGCTGGCGCCGGGTCCAGCCAAACCTAGGTTGTCTGCGGTTCTCCGAAAAAGTCATGGCAGCAATCGAAGGGAGCATGAGTCGGTGAAAAAGACCCTTGGTTCTTTTCCACGCATCGTGGGGCCAGCAGCAGACATTCGAGAGTTGGAATACATCTCAGCTCTTCATCAAAACGCAGAGAAACTCTTGCGATCAGATGGCACCATCTCTTGTGAGTTTTGCTCATTTGGTTATACAGGTTTCGTCTGCCTTGAAAGTTGGACTCGTCTCATCCTAAATTTTTGTGTTCGCTGCGACTTTCGTCCTGGTATCAGCCCAAGACATTGGGCCCTACCTTTCGTCTCGGTACGGCATTGAGATCACTTCAGAGCAAGCGATCGATATCGCGATAAACTTGTGTGGTGGAAAGCTTCGCAATGAATTCGCAGCACAACTGGATGTCCAAAATGACAAAATTGCAAGAGGAGGGACCCATCAGAGTGTTCCCACGGAGGAGCAGAGTACGACTGAAGATGACGAAGAAGAGGAAGAACCAATCTACTATTTTGACTTGGTACAGCTCATGTCTGTCTTAGTGATCCCGGAGCTTCGCCAGCTTGCTGACAGGTATCACGGCTCTCGATCTATCAAAAAGTCTACGAAACGCCAGCGACAATTATGGTCCAGCATTAGTGAGCCAATCAGTTTCAAGATGGAAGAAGAGGAGAAAAAAGAGGAGGATGCAATGACACCGGTGGAAACAAAGGAAGCGCGACTCTCAAACAAGGCAGTGGGAATTGTTAAGGTTGTACTTGAGGCACTGATAGAGATCTTCGACGAGGACCTCCAAGGTGAAATTCGACGTGGAGCGACAATTGATGCTGATATGCTGATTACGATTCTAGAGTCGTTTGGAGATGTGGACACGGCGAACGATCCAGTTCAAGTGCAAAAACTACTGGTAAGTGCGACGCGACAAACACTACTCACTACGCTCCTCCAGCTCGTGAACGACTCACGAAACCTCAAATGCCTTGGTTTGGGCTACAGGACGCGCTAAGGATCAATGGTGGCCCTCCCATGCTAAAAGTAGAAAACTTCCTTGCAGCTCTGACTTCGGATGTATCCACTTACGTCCCAGCGCCAACGGATGATGATGGAAGCGCTCCGAAGACTTCGGTCTTTTACGACGTGTTTGGCTGGTAAGTTTTGGAAGATGAGCGCTATACGCTGCGGTTGCCTGCTTTTGTTTTTGAAAGCGGCTTATGCATGGTACAACTCATCCTTGGTGCAGGAATTGGGACGAACCCATGGCCACTGAGAATCCCGTTGTCAGTGACCAAGTGTTGCACATGGGCACGGCCAGTTTCATCGACTACGTAGCAGACACTTATCGCTCCGCTTGGGCCAACACGATGGTGTGGTGCCTTTTCATACTGACAAGTACGTTTGGCTTTGTGGTTGTGAAAGCCTGTAATTGGTTCGACATATACAGGGCCCTCACTGTCGACTACTTGTTTGCTTCCACCTACCGTTAGCTCTGGTGTACCTGAGCTTCTTTATCTCTCATCTGCAGGCTAGCGAAGCTGCCACTGTGTTCTGTCCCGATGATGAGCACTTTGGTTGTGCTATTGGCAACAAGATCATAGGGTGGATTCTGACGGCTATCTTTTGTGGGTGAGTTTAGTCAATTGTTACAATGCTTTCTAACTTGTACGACGTGGTGTGAATGCCGTTTCTCATTGGGAATTCTTCGTCAATTGCTCCCTTTGACCTAAAATAGGACGTACGGTAAGAGATCGATTTTTAGGATGTTTGGTGCTTCTGCCATTGATCTCACAACGATGCTGCTCGTGAAGGCCTTGTGTTCATTCTTCCCACAAGCGTTGGTAACGTCTATGGGCAGAAAGGGCTCCAGTGGTTTACCCTCTTTGCGACTGCTTTCTTGGCGTTTGCGCCCTTTTCCACTTTGATATGGTACCGACGGGGAATACCACATGTGATAGAGACTTTCGTGGACCATCGGGTGATATGCCCAGCGTGGGTTGAAGCTCCAGAAAACCCGGACACCGTTGCCGAAGCTGTTGCGCAAGAGGTTCTCGCGACTGGGAAATTGGAGGAGGATGAAACCAAGGGTTACCTCAGTTTGGACCCACAGTGTCTTCCCATCGTGGATTGGTGTGAAGCACATCCAGAAGTACAGGGGAAGTGAGTGAAACTGGCTGTGCACGCTTATGGGACACCAGCACCATGATGCACATTGAGACTCACCGTGTCCATTGTTCCTGCTGATAGGTATCTCGACGAGGACCCATCTACTCTAAGCTACAGTGAATTTGAAACTTGCTACAATTTTACAAAGACAGAAGTTGTCGATATTTTCTTGTTGGAAACGGGGCGGTCTTGCAATCCAAACAACAAGACAGATCTATGCCCGGGGTACGGCAAATGTGCCCGAAGTGCTCTGTCTGAATCTGCTCCATATGTGTGTTGTCACGGAACCGCAATTCCCTTCGCAGATGAAGACGCAGCGTTCGACCAGGTTTGTGACGGGCAACCGATCGATGCCCCTTGCAGGGACGACCTGATGTGTGAGAGCCGTTTGTGTGTGAACAACAAGTGCGCTGAAGAGGAAGGTAGCAATGACGCCCAGAAAAAACCTCTGGGCGAAAATTGTGATAGTAACCATGCCTCCTGCACAAGTGGGTTTTGCTTTCAAGGGACATGCCAGCAGCACCCCAAATGGTGTCCGATTCTAGGCCTCGAGGCCTTGGGAGGTAAGCTATGAGGGGGCTTCCCATAGTTTCTGTTTATGCTGGTGCTAGTAGATCTAGCCTATCTAGATCGCAGGTGTCTGACCACTTTTGCATTGTACTTTGCGGGAATAGGCCTCAGGCTAGATCCTTACTGCCGGACGGTGAGTGACTGGTGCTCATTCAACAACTGGAGAACTCTAGGATTGAGCCTGTTTGGTACGGCCTTTGAGGAAGCCGGACTGGTGGAAAGTTCAGACGTGAACGCTGCTGAAGCTGCGGAACAAGATGCTGAAGGAGTTGTGGACGAGGGTACGTTCACGTAGCATTAGATATCTGTTTCTCCTCTTGTTCTCCCTGTCGACTTGCTGTAACCTAACACGAACGGGTTCTTGCAATTGATAGTTTTCCATGATACAGGAGAGGCCGGGGAGGAAGCTGAATTAGAACTTGACGAGCAGTTGAAAACGGAATGTGAGAAGTTTCTAGATGCTTTTCTTGATTTCAACGAAGACCTCCAAAGAGAAACAACATTTTCCTTCTTGAAGAGGGTTCCAGCAACTGAACAAAACGAAGTGGAGATTGCCACTATCGCGTACAACAATGCTATCGAAGACACTTTGGAAGACGAGTGGACGTACTTCATACTGCTTTGCATTGCGGTTGTTGGAGCATTTGCAGTTTTGGCCGTGGTGAAGGGGCTTGTGAAGGCTGCCAAAGGTCACAGTAGAGTTCGTGACTACACAATCAAATGCGCTGCAACCCACAAAATTGCCGATGTGATTGAGAATGCTTTAGGTATGCATATGGTTGAAGGCGCCAGCACAAAAGGGCAGGTCATGCGAAACTTCTTTCTCCACGGAGAGACAGTTGTGGAGGTTGGAGGGGTACCATGGACACTGAAGCAGCTCTTCTCTCGCAGGCTCTTCTTCGAGGAAGGTATAAGATTTACTGGAAGGCTCTGGATTGGGTTGATCGTCCAAGCGATCGTGACGATCGTCGGTGAGTGAGGATAATTGCATGTCACGGCCACTAGACGGGCAGCGTGCCTCTTACTTATGGCCTTATCTAACAATACAATTGCTAGGTGTGGCATACGCGTCGGCTCTGGTCGAGATGTTTGGGCATGCCATTGATGAGATTCGATCAGATCTCGGGTTTCGGTTCACGAAAGAGGAAATCTTGGCCTTCAGCCCATATGAGTGGGCTACAGGTAAGATCTGTAGTGAGTTTCCGAGCAGCTTTACCGTGCATTTACTCACACCACTTCAGTTACCCGAGATCAGCTCACAGTGACAGAGGAAGAGCAAGCTATCTTGGACTATCTCCCAGAGAAATGGTAAGTGATCTTCTTGACTTTTAAAGCCCAATCCCGCATACGTTGCAGTGACTGATGGCTTGTTTGCCCCTGAATGAAGGATGATCGATGGTAAGGCATCATTGCTGTTCCTGTGGAATGTGTGTTTTCGTCGCATGCCTTTCACATCTTTCCTGGGGTTTGATCTTTGTAGCCGCTGGTATTCCTGCAATTGTTGTTGGGACACTGGTGGCCACGTTCTGCATCTTGGTTTATGTGCCGAGCTATACCAACAAGGTCCTCAAACTGCGGAATGGAACAATACCCAGCCTGAAAGACCCGTATTTTGGCACGTATCGGAACTCGCCTGACAATGTGGTGCAAGTAAGTGAAGGAAATGGCATGTTCCCCGCATCATGAAGGCATCATGCCGCTCAGGTATCTATTGTTTTTCCTGTATCTCCCAGAACGTCGGAAACATGGTGTTCTCTATGATGGGAGCGGGTGTCTTTACAGCATTACTGACGTTTATTGGCGTCTTCATTTTTGCCTATCCAATCACGAGGGTCCATGTAGTTGGCAGCATTGCAGTTGCCATTGGTATTGTAAGTGCTGTCGCTTCCGTAGCAGCCGAATTTGGTTTTGTCTCTAACACCACCAAATTCCTGGCTATGTCAAGGCTTCCACGATTGCACTCAAAATCGTAGGCCAGAAACTTCTGCGGGGACGCAACTTCAGTTCCTTTTATCGAAAGAAGCCAAGAGCAGGTAAGACAGGATGAAGTGGGCGGTATTATGTAGGCCGTTTTGACGCACAAAACTCACGCTTTCCGCAACTACCAATTGCAGCGAACTACGCAAGCTTGGTGAGATCAGAATGAAGCAAATGCTGACGTTGGCCGTTTTTTAAGTCACACCTCACACCTTCCGCAACTATGCCGCAGTTCTTCGAATGCTGGTACCTGGGCACGGGTCTTCTCATTGTTATTTCCAGGCGTAAGTAAGCACTTGGCCGAGAGAATTCGTTCTAACGAGACCGTCTCATCACAACTGTTTCCTGCAACTGGGACATAGTGATTATTTTCATTGTCACTGGAGCGTTTTGGTTGGGAAGAATTGATGTTGAGTAAGAATGGCCTAACTACTGCTCGCCCTTCCTCTTCTTTCAGCTTTACCATTTCGTGCCTCACTTATTCGATTCCTCTTTCCTTGAAGATTTCTCCACCCAAACGTTAAGATTGCTGGCGTTGGTTTGGATTCCGTACCAACGGGCTTCACTAGAGATCTGCTGGTCCACGAGGCACATCTGCATCCGTACATCGAGAGGTTGGGCAGCATGTATCTGATGCGGATTCGTGATTGCGAGAAGTTTGGAAGCATTGCTGGCACTACATGGAGGTCCTTGTTTGTCACGGGGTTGATGCCTGTAAGTAATGGAAATTGCGTTTCACCCCCACCAATCGCGACAGTATCATATTATCATGATAGCGACAAGCGGCTCAACTAGTCTATCGCTTTGTATGTATCTCCCAGTGGATTGTGAAGTACAAAGTGAATGGCTTCGATGAGGATAGCTTCGACGCTCCCGATGACTAATCGAGTGGAGTCCACGACGCAAGTAAACATCACTCTTTGTGTTTTGAATCTCTAATTGGCGTTAAAAAGGTTGAACGTTGTTCTTGTCCATTATGCTGCTGCCTATAAACTCGTAATATGAATGCGAGTGTCGTATTCACTAAACTACGATCTGATGTGCCCGATTGCCTCCAGAATGAGGACTCCGTCAACCGTAAAGTCGCAAGGGAAGACATTAACATCAACTTCCCAACAAGCTCTCGACATGGCCAACGCCCTTCCTCTTGGCCAACTGCGACCGCAGAGGCCCTCGCTGTGGGAGGCTCCCTCTGCTTCTCCTTGGAACTCGTGTATGGTTTGCTGAAGATTGCGTAGATATTATGTTGAGCCAAGTCAGAATTCATTGAAGCAACGAATCGAATCCAATAAGTTAAGGCTCCAGCGTGCCATTGAAAAAGGGACCCGTTTCCTCCAGTGCTGGATCTGACAGCAGCGCTGGTTCGTCTTCCGCCGAGGATCTTCCAAAGATCCCCGCCATGACAGCCACAATCAAAAGAGTCAAGCAGAGTCCCATGACAACATGTTCTCGTTGCTGTTTGGTGAGTTCCCATACATCATCCACGGCTTCAATTTCATTGCGTCGTTCGTCGTTTTGATCTTCGGGTACCACTGTCAAAATTTGCTGTGATGTTTCGCTATCGCGACGCAACCCTCGGGTGGAAACTTCGGCCACGACCACTCCGGTGGTATGCGCCGTTCGGGCCACGACAGTGACTCGATCGGGAGAATCCTTGATGATATCACAGGCGACGCGAGCATCAACTTCGGTCACATCGACTTCGTTAATGGACAAGATCCGATCTCCGACATTTAACAGAGACTGTGCAAAGAGTCCGTTTTCATTAATGGAAGAGACTCGCAAATCGCGTTGTCCCGTCGACTTGAGACCCATGCCACTCCGTTGATTTCGATTGGCCTTGGTAATCATGGATTCAATCAAACAGGGATCGCCTCCTTCATTACGACAGACAATATTGATGTATCCCGTGGCCTCTCGCAACATTCGTGCCGCTTCTGGACTGTCCATATGCTGCGTCCTCTTGTTGTTGATTGAGAGAATCTTGTCTCCGGCTTGAAAGGGACAATGTCGCAAGAGACTTCCCTTGGACGCATTGTTGTTTTCTTCGTCGTCGTCATCATCGTCGTCCGTCGCTACAATGTCTCGATTGATGGAATAGACCACGACTTCATCGCGCAACAAGTTGAGCCCGACACTTTCCGTGGGTGCATTCTTGATGACGGTGGCACTGAGGAGTTCGGCTCGTCGATGCTGTCCGACGGCCGATGCCGGGGTAAAGGGAGATCGACTGGAGGCGCTTCTGGTGGCATTGGCCAAAAAGTTGCGGGCCGCTCTAGCGAGTCCCGACGCACGACGATTACCGGGATACGGCAGGGGTTCCTCATCTCCGAGCTCTAGATCGTGCATGTTGAAACTGCCATTGCTGCGAAAACTAGCGTCGATTTCGACGGCCTGAGCGACAATCTTTTCATCTGCCAAATCGGAATCATTGGGTTGACTGTCGTCGTGTGGACTGTCGTCATCTGGTTGGTTGAACGAAGAGGAAGGCACTTCAAATTCGGCAATGACACCATCGCTCGACACGAGACGCTGTCGTTGTCGTGGTTTATTGGCAGAGGAAGAAGAAGTCAATTCTTGGACTACAATTCCTCCCGTCGAGTCGACGACTGGATGGACTTGCAGTGCATTGTTGTTGTTGCTGTTCTTGTTGTCCAAATCGCGATGATCCATGCTGCCACCTCCATCGGCTGTTTCGTCGTCAGAAAGAACTCCCGCCAGTTCATTCTGGACGGTTTGAAAGTCCTGTTCGAGCGCCGCTCCGAAATTGGAGAGTCTAATGGTGGGAATGTTGGAGTCATCCAAATCCATGTATTCGCTGCAATCATGAAAGGAATCCACAGCTTGGACATGCACTGGCTCGGAGAAGGTCCCCGACATTTCATCTCGAAAGGAACACCCCGAGTGACGAGAATCAGGGCTCTCGGAATAGGATCCTTCTTCCATGTTTTGGATGGAATGAGGCGGCGTAGAAGCATTCGTAGAAGACATCATCTTCGAGACTTTTTTCTATAGATATAGACTTCTTTCTTGGCCAACTTGAATGGAAGCGAATCGAATGGAATGAGTGTTATCTTATCTTCTGGTGGGTTTGCTGCGAGCCACTTCCGAGGGAACAAAAGATCGACTCGTCACTCGTCACTCCGCTCCTCTGATTCGATTCTCAAAAACCAGGTTCCACTGACAATCTTCTTCACCAAACAGAGCAAAACAGCACAGACAACAAAAAGTCCCCAGCAACAAGGAGGATAGGCTGCGAAGGTGACTTGATCTCTTCCTGCAATGCACAAAAGGACCGTTGCTCTCTAACAAGAAGCACAAGGAGCCAATGGCCGAAAATCACTCATGCAACCGCTTGATCACCAGTTTCGTTTGCAATTGGTGGGAGGCTCGGCAATGGCTGAGATGATGAACATCAATCGCGCTACCAAAATTGCCTTCCTTTTTCCCTTCTTTGGGAGGCTCTTTGGTCGGTTTGGCTACTTCGAGAGTACACTAAAATACCTACCGATGGTATGATAATCGTTGTCAAGGACATGTTCTACCGTTGCAATCCCGGTGTTAAGTCTCAATTAGTTTCTCAATGTATTTCCATCCAAATCCAGTGAAAAGAATGATGAATCATCATCCATTTATGTCAATTTCACAAACAAATAAGCACTGAAGTACAAATTCTTGAAAAAGAAGTACCAGTATCGATTGAAATTTCAAAGTGACCCTCTCTTTCATCTCAACTCTCAAACCATCGGTACACCCTGCGACTTGCTCAACCTACATCCGGGTTGTTTTCAAAGATCCAAGATTCCTCATCTAAGTCTCCTCGGCCACCAAGCCGGTTGCCGAGAATGAAAAGTAAGTGACCAAATCGTTCAGCTTGTTGAGCTGTTGAGGTTCAGATTAGATGGAAGGCCAAAAGATACTAACCTTACTCCGAGCTGCGAGCCGCTATAGCGCTAAGCTAACCAACTAAAGGGTCCGTCCTCCATTTCAACCTCTTCCACATCTGCATGGATCATTGATGCATCAATCTGAGTGATACTTGTTCAGAATGCTTCGGAAGGAAGCTGATGCAGAGGCCATCATGCCTTTTTCCCATCATGCCTTTTCCTCACTTTGCGCCTTCAAGAAATTCTAGGTATGTGAGGATGTCCCTGTCCTCAGTATATGACCAGCTAGATAGCTGGTCGTTGGAATCCCTACAGACGGTGTGTCTCCATGCATCCCAAAACTCCAGCTCGTTGGTTCCCAGTTTGCCCCCGCCCCTCGTGGTACCACCGAACAATGCCCAATTTCACCCCCCCCAACCGGCTTTCATAGACTAAACTGCTCTACCGGAGGCCTCTTTACTATTCTTACCTGCTAGCTAGCCAGCGGGGACAACTCTAAAGAAAGTCCAATCAGAATTACATACTAGCTAGTATCATATCTCCAACGACAAGTGTCACTCACCACCATGGCAAAAGCTATTACATGTACTAGTAACAATAATAACCAGCAGCAACCAGCCTCCTGCAAGACTCGTGATGAGATGCTGGCAAAGTTCCTGACCGATGACAGTCTCAATGATATCATCCTCAAGGGAACAACAGATGGTGTCAGCAAACCGGTTCTCACTTTCGGCCCGATCTGAGGTTTTCAAGGGAATGCTCTTGGGCAAGTTCCAGGAAGGCACCAGATTTACCGGTTTTCTAGAACCTCGCTAAAACAAACTCACGGTATTTCAATGTAATTCGTCCGCGAATCGCGCAGCACGAATGCGTATTCGCGCACAGCAAATGCGTATTCGTTCTTAATTCGCGGAGTTTTACTAGCAGATATACGCACTCATTCGCTTTAAACTCGCGCTATTCGCGCTGCGCGAGTCAGCGCGAATAGCGCGAATCTCGAACGAATCGCGCTAACTCGCCCACCACGAATTACCGCGAGTTTGAAGAATCTGAGAAAATCGCAAAAATCCGCTGCCTTCCAGGAAGCATCACTGCCGGTTGTAGAGCTTAGCTTTACAGGAAGCGTCCTCCAGGCAGTGGTGGAATTTGTTCTTACCCATGATGCACAAATTCTCAACTCCAAGAAACGGAAGACACCTGATGGAGAAGAAGAAGAGGAACATGTTTCCATTCAACAGATTGAATCATTGGTGTCATTGACAGAAGCTGCCTCCTACTTCAATCTTGCTGGCCTTGAAGAGCTTGTCATGGAATATTGTACAACCATTCTGAAGAAATGGCCATGCTTGTCCTTTGCTTTTTTGCAGGTATGCCGAACGGCCGGGAATTCAGTGCCAGATGTGGTTTTGGACAATGCAAAGCAATGGGTCCGTGAAACCCCAGCTAAATCAGTGTCTACCGATCATGTGGCTGCTTTGAGCAAGATTGTCATGGAGGAAATTCTCATGGATGCAGAAATGAAAATGACAGAATGTGATCTCTTCCAGATTCTGAGCCTCTGGGTACCATAGAAGGTGAACCCAGTCACAGAAAGGATGCTGGAAAGTGTCTTTCCACACACATTTGCTTTGAAAAAATCGATGCTCAATTTCTAGCAACAGCTGTGGCTTCATCAGGTTTGGCTACCTCTCAGCAGCTGAATGAAGCATACAAGAATCAAGCACTGAAACTGGCACCTTCAAGCTTTCCAAAACGTTGTGAACCAAGCTGGGTTTCTGAAAAGCCTGTTGGTGCAGGAATGCCAAGTGCAATCAAAGTAGAAGGAGCTGGGATAGATCATGCGAATGGAGTGTACATACAAGATGGATTATATATGAAGAATCCCAAGTATCTCATGCAACGTTCTCATAAAGGGCGAATTCCAGTTGCAATCAAGGTGGAAGGAGCTGGGACAGAAGCTGTGAATGGAGTGTACACACAAGATGGATTATATAAGAAGAAGCCCAAGTATGTCATGCAAGGTTCTTACCAAGGCGAGCAGAGGGTCTTTGCTCTTGCCTTCCATGGAGTATACTGGTATGTTGAGATCCCTTGTTCTGCTAATGGTGGTTTGGTGCAAGACGTTGACTTCTACAAGGTAAAGTTGAAGCCAAATCAAGATTTCCCACCACCCACTGCCTGGAAGACTCATGGGAATGGAGCTGGTTCACCTCCAAATTTTCTGTACAAGTTTGAACACTGATGGGCTGAGCTACTTTTGGGAAGAGCATTGTTTTGCTAGAAGAGCATGTTTTGCTCAGTCTGCCACCTCAGTGGCTCTTGGGATCTGTGAACAAGTGACGTCGTCTTGTTTTAGTTTCATCACTGTCTATCCTGAAAGGAAGATATAGCCTGCAATGAAACAAACTGTATATTCTGAGATCATCTATTAGTCATTGCTACCTTGCCCTCATTTTGAAGCAAGGATTGACAACCGCTTGGAGCATAGAGGACAGTGACTATACAGCATTCTACAATTAGAAGTACGGCGGAGGAAAGTAATTGCCTTCATGAATGAAACAATGTCCTCTAAATCATTATAAGCTTTCTAATTGTAGCGGGTAGAATTGTGTACAGTATAAAAATAGGAAATCGAGGTGCGCTCCGTTGAGACATAAACCCAGCGCAACGATGAAGGTGGATCAGGGGAGGCCACAGAATCTAAAATGTCGTTGACAACTCGTTACGACAAGGACAGCACCACCTGAGCAGCAGAGACCAGATCCGATTGGCTCTTGGACTTTCGTCGTTCCACCTCTGGGTGGTCAGCTGAAGCCTGGTTGAGCATTTTGTGATCGCTCACGGACTTGTGCATCCCGGGATTTGCCCCTCCACGGCGGTAGTAGAAGTGAGCCATGCTGGTTGTCTTGACGTAGCCCCCTGTGGTGTTCAAATCTGCAACCTGCGCTCGGTCTGCTCCACCACCAGTAGATGCGTTCTCGCCAGTCTTTTGAGCCGGCTCTTGCTGCTGACGAATGTGCGGACGATGTTCGTCGTCGTCAATGAAGAGGCCCGATGAATGAGATCGGGTCAAGTTCGATGCCGAAGGTCGGTTCCCCTGGAGGCCAAGTCCACCCCAGCCGGATTGAACAGCGCCACTTGGAATCGTCCAAGAGTGAATTGGTTCCTTCTTTGCAGCCTTGCCGACACCAAGGGATCCACTGCTTTGAGCATTGCCATCCTTGACCATGTCGCCTTGGGAGGAGCTGAAAACAGTTTGATCCCCGACACCCAAGCCTCCCAAGTTAACAAGGCTGGGGCTTGTAAAGAAGCTTGGAACGCGTTCTCCCATTTTGGCGCCGTACGAGTTGGTTCGCTTCTTCTCCAAGGATTCAGCAGCAAGACGACGTCGTAGGCGCTGAACGCAACGATCCAAGGTGATCTCTTCAGCAATATGACTCTTGATTGCTGGGATGTGCTTCCAAGTTTCTCGCTCGGCTTCGTCGACCCAATTCAAAAAGTCATCCTCGTCCGGGTTGTAGATGCAGTGGAGGAAGGCACTGAAGAGGCTACGGTGACTGATCCAGGGCACCATGGAGATGTCACACTCTCTTCCTTCGTATTCCTGGGTAAGGACCTGGGTACCAAAGTCTCTTTGTACACCGAATAGAGGAGCAATCTGTCTTCCTCCAACCAACTCGACTGCATGTGTGAGCCAAGCGCGCAGCTGATCTTTGAGGAATATCAGCAAAGAGTTGAAGAGACCAGTGACTGGGTGTGTCCACACGCTTTTCTCAGTGTTGTAGGTGCCAAACATGACTGCGTGTGGGTTTGCCTGGCTGATGATGAAGTGGTTGACGTTGAACATCTCGCTCAGTTGTTGCATAGGCAAGTCCAACTCCATCGACCCGTCAGAAAACTTCATCTCTGTAGCACTCTCGTATCGTTCAGTGCCGTCTACATCTTTTACCATCAATCGGTTGGCTTCAAACACACCCGGCAAAGATGACGATGCCGCTGCAGCACTCCACACCAACACATGCGGAGCCGTCAGGTAGTTTAACAGGCGGGGTGGATCGCCTTTACTGAGTGGAGTGACAACAATGTTGAGGATTCTTCCAGTCCTATCAAAAGCCTCCTGGAAGGTGAAGTCCCCAATGTTCACTTTGCAACATTCGCGAAGGTGAGCAGTATCGCTTCTCACCATATCGATCGGGCGACGCGTGCCCGTGACGACATCGTAGATGAACGACGTTGCACCCCTCAAACCGATTGGGATCATCAACTGCCACGTTCTCTTGCCGTCCTTGAACGCCCCAGCCGAGTTTTGCAAAACTTGTTGAATATCAGACTGTGCGTGCTGCTGAGAAGTCTCCGAGCGGACGGGGGCGAAGAAGTTGAGTTTGAGTCTCCCGTAGTGTCCTGGCGCATTGGTCCCCATGACATTGAGCAAGTCATTCCTGCATTCATCGTCGGTGCGAGTTCCAAGCATCGAGCAAACGATGGACCCAGCACTGCTTCCGCCAATGACACGGGGCATCAAGTTGTTGTCCATTAGAGCTTTGACGACTCCACAATGGTAAAAGCCCACTGATGATGATTGATTAAAGGATTTTAAGAACGGGAGCAAACTCAGATTGTGAGACATCAATGCTGCCATCGAACATTGACTCCTCCTTGACGACCTCATCAACTTACATGCAGCGCCACCACTGGACAATGATACGATTTGGGACAATGACAAGCACGCCGGTTAGAACTTGTAACTGTGCTAAATGTCGGAGACAAGCTGTAGGACGGCGTACCTCAAGATCAAAGCGCTCCGGCCGTAGGCATGCCTAGTGCAGGGGAAAGACATGTAAGAGACGTGTTGGGATGAACACCTTAATAACAGGCAGACAAACTCGAGCTACCACACCATGGATGCGTACCTTGTTTCATTAAAGAATGCAAGTCTTGCATCGGTTGGAATGGGAGCTTCTCCCTCTCGAACCGGGGCATCACAGACAAAGTCGAGAGCCGCACACACCACATTGTGATATGTTTCCACAAGAATCTTGGACCCCGCCATTGCTCTGCTAAAGAGACCTTCATGGAGCAATCCAAACTTGTTTCTAGCAATCCCACCACGCAAGACAAACATCAGCTCAAAGATATCTCTACGGCGCATCAGATGTACAAACTCATCAATGCGAGCATTGATGCGCTCCTTTTCGTAGAGAGCGCAGTTTGGATCTGACCTCCAAACTGTGTGTCCCTGCGCCAGATCAATGGCTTCTGCCAAGCACATCCAGTCATCTTGATCCTTGACTGTTTTCTGTTGCCGTTCCAGTTCGGCAATGAGTCTATTTCGGGACGAAAAGTTGGAGAGCAGCGCCTTGACAATGGTCGTCACTTGCTTGTACGTCAAGACGCCAGCTTCCAGAGCAATGGCCAACAGCAACTGCTTGGCAACAGTCCTAGGGACAAAGACTGTGTCCAAAAGCTCCAGGCTGATTTCTCTCAGAACTGGAACATAGGCAATCAAGATTCTCGCAGTACTGATGGTGGGATAGGTAGCAGAGAAGTTCAATTGTGAGAAAGGACGACGACAATGATGATAACGACGACAAGACCAGAATGCTATTTGTTTGCTATCCAACTTACTCGTCCAGGGCCTGATGCAACAAATCCAACTGCAAGTCCTGCACATTCCGACTCCTATTGTTGGTGCTCATCTTGGCGACCACAAAAAATGAGAAAAGAACACGAGAATACAAGTGTCGACCACTCGTGAAACTACTTTCTCACTTGATCTCAAGCAAGTCATCAGAGACAATGACAGAAAACTGGCTGGAATGATGTTGAGATTGATTCAATCAATAAATCGAATCCTTTCTCGATTTCGTTTAACGAACTTCTCGAGCATTGCCCACAACAACGCAAGTAACTGTCATGACGCAGGGTACCCTTCCCTCGGCAAGAACAATACCGGGAGAACAGAGACGCCAAGTGATGGCAATGGAAGCACTTTCTTGCCAAAGCTGACACCTTGGCATCAGAAATGGGATGTCATTCCCGTTCCCATGGGACAGATTGACAGACCAAAAGGTATCTTTGTGCAAAACAAAAAAAGTTATCTCGTACAGGAAGACAGATTTAAGAAGGTAGTTTCGGTAAAGCAAGGGTTAAACATAACTGTATAAAGCATCATTATTACCGCATCTACCTGATAAATTCCCTGTTTTCACTCGCTCTGGTCGTCTGTACGCTCTCGCATCCAGATCGAAGACATCACCTTGTTTGCTTGATAACGGACTGCTTGATAGTGTAACAGGGAGGTTGGTTGCAGTGAGGTTCTACCAATTTGGTCTCAACATGATGAGAGGCCGAGGTAGTCTTGCCTGGTCCTTGCTGCTGGTACTGGTGGTAGCCACGTTGCTGGCAGTTGGTTGTCGGAAGCAAACAGGACAAACCCAGAATAATACCGTCTCCGATGATCTCAAGGATCCAAGGACTCATCCATTAGATATTCGAAAGTTTGACGCTGATACAGAAGACCCCAAGGTTTTGAATGTGCATGTGGTGCCTCACACTCATGATGATGTTGGATGGCTCAAGACCGTGGAGCAGTATTATTACGGCCAGAACATGACCATTCAAGATGCGTGTGTCGAGGACATTTTGGATTCCGTGGTGGAGGCACTGCTGGAGAATCCCTACCGAACTTTTGTCTATGTGGAAATCAAGTTCTTTTCCATGTGGTGGGAACATCAAACCGATACAGTCAAAGAGTCGGTCCGGCAGTTGGTCGCCAATCAACAGTTGGGATTTGTCAATGGTGGGTGGTGCATGCACGATGAAGCTGCCACTCATTTCATGGGAATGATTGATCAGACCACTTTGGGACATGCCTTTTTGAAAAGAGAATTGGGATACATTCCCAAGGTGGGATGGCAGTTGGATCCCTTTGGCCATAGTGCCACACAAGCATCTCTCATGACTTCCAGCATGGGGTTTGATGCCCTTTATTTTGGACGAATTGACTATCAGGATATGGAAATCCGACACAATACACAGGAATGTGAAGGGTTGTGGTCTTCTTCTGCATCAGCAGGCAACAAGAGCACGGTGTTTTGGGGACTCACTGGAAGCTACTATGGCAACTATGGGGCACCACCGGGGTTCTGCTTTGACAAACGCTGTCACTACAACCCTCTCACAAATATGACAAGACCCCAGCTGGTTGATGCTGTAAAGCATTTCCTCCAGGAGATGAAGTTACAGAGTGACAGAACCAAGGGCAGCCATGTAATGCTCACTTTTGGCAGTGATTTCAATGTAAGGATGCCTGGGTATTCTCTGTTGGGTCCATACTTATCTGTTTCTTGTGTGTGCTCACATTGTCATGTTGTTCGTTCCGTGGGATGATTGTTGACATTATCAGTATCAACGGGCAAGCACTTACTTTGCAAATATTGATTTGCTCATAAAGTCTATTGACCTGTTCCGAGAATGGGGTCTCGTGGATGTGCCAACAATGCTGGGTCCACGATTTGAGCGGATCAATATCTTCTATTCCTCACCCAATTACTACACCCAGATGAAACACAAACAGACACGGTCCCCAGCCAAAACAATTCACACATCTCATCTGATAAACAGCAAAGAGTCAGATATTGACGCAAAAACAACTGATGAAATGGGAATTGAATGGAAGGTCAAAAAGGATGACTTCTTCCCGTATTCTGATTGTCCTCATTGCTTTTGGACTGGCTACTTTACCTCTAGAGCGGCATTCAAAAAGTTGGAAAGGGTTGGATCATCGTTCTTAATGGCGGCACGTCAGATTGAAGCCTTGCTGGATCCGTCATTTCACAAATCAAAAGCGGAGGAAAAGCCACTCTATGATCTGGAGGATGCCATGGGAGTAGTACAACATCATGATGCCGTGTCCGGCACTGCCAAACAGCACGTCTCCAACGACTACAGCAAACGAGTCCAAGCTGGTATCAACAAGGCTGCCAAGTTTGTTATCAATGTGTTGAAGAACAAGGTGCTTCGTGATGGAAGGCATGACTGGAGTAGTAACATTCTGGACAATCTCAGCTTCTGCCAGCTGGTCAATGAAACCATCTGCACAGTTTCTCAGGTAATGTTGATTGACACACTCTTCTTGGAATCCTCAGGTCAGGTCTGCTTCCGACTTCTAACATCCATTTCATGCCGTTCAGGAAGCAACCATGGAAGGCTCTTGCCAAGATGTGACTGTAGTTGTGTACAACGCCCTTGGGTCAAACACGTCTAGCATTGTGTACCTGCCTGTATCTGTGGACAGTTTGTTTGAGGTAACAAGGCTGGGCACAGCGGTCGCTGCTGCGAACAACACTATTCGCTCAACCCCAAGCCCATTCGGTGGGGTCCGTCTCTCTTCGGCAAAATACGTTCTGGCCTTTGACACTGGGCCTCTGACACCGGTGGGGACAGCAATCTTTAGGGTCAGGAAGAAAGCGAGCTTGGATGGAAGCAATGGCACCCCAAATGGGTGGGCTGTTGACAATGCTCGAAGGTTGGGGGTGCCTTCTTCCCATGGAGTTGATGAAACCACAAGGGATGTTGTCGCGTCAAACGGTTTGTTGACGGTCCACTTTGACAGGTAAGGTTTCGTGATTTTTACAATCCCGTTTCGTCTGAGGACGGGAGCCTCACGGTCTTACTTCCCGCTTGGATGCAGTCACACAGGCGCAATGAAAACAATATCCAAAGATGAGACTACACTTGAAATCGATCAGGTTTGGGGTTACTACACTTCATTTGACGCTTCCAAAGATCGTGTACCCGCTGACAAAACTGATAGGGCCGACCAGAATAGTGGCGCCTATATTTTCCGCCCAAGCCAAGGTGATCAGAAACTGAACATTCTTGGATATTCGAAGCAGGCCTCCAAATTTGTGCAAACGTCGATGGGCACGGAAGTCCATATTGAATTCGAAGAACCATGGGTGAAGCAAGTTACTCGGGTGATGAAAGGAATTCCTTATATAGAGGTAGAATACATGATCGGTCCAATTCCAATCACCGACGGAAGAGGCAAGGAGGTGGTAACGAGGTTTTCCACAGCTATACAGAGCAATTCAACCTTTTTCACGGACTCGAATGGGCGCGAATTCTTAGAGCGACGTCGAGACTTCCGACCGTCTTGGCCTTTAGAGGTGTTCGAGCCGGTGGCCGGGAATTACTACCCAGTGAATGCAGCAATTTACGTTGAAGACGAACAGGTGTCATTAGCCGTACTGGTCGATAGGTCACAAGGGGGGGCTTCCCTTGACGACGGGTCGGTTGAGTTGATGGCTCATCGACGTGCCCTTGCTGATGATAGGCGTGGTGTTGGGGAGCCTCTGAATGAGACAGACGGTGGCGTCTCACCGTATCCGCCTTATGGAAATGCTCATCGGTATGGACGTGGTCTTGTGGTTTGTGGGAAGTATCGCGTAATGGTCGGGAAAGGCTCAACCGGGGCGAGCTTGGCCCGATCCGAAATGGATAGCGCGTTTACGTCTCCCCTGATATTCGTGGCGTCATCAGAACCCAATGACATTGCCACCGCCTCCTTGGATTCCTTACATGTATCTGCCCTTCAACAAAGTCTCCCACGAAACATCATGTTGGTGACATTCCAGAAACTCGATGAAGCGGAGCCAGACTTCTTGGTTCGGTTTGGCCACCAATACGGAATACACGACGACAAACTGCTTTCTCTTCCTGTCTCTTTAGACCTCGCGGCACTGTTCGGAGGCTACAGCATCGAATCTGTGACAGAGCTAACTTTGTCGGGGAACCAGGAGCTCACCGAGTGGACCGAGAGGCGCCTAGATTGGATTCCTGGACATCAAGCTGAGCAACTGCATACCAATGATACCTCTACGGTCATATCTCTCAGGGCAATGGAAATACGAACGTTCAAAATGAAAATGGTCACAAAACAATGACGAGGTTCCAAAGCCCCGCTTTCCAAATTGAAGCAATGTGCTAAGACTACTATGGTATATTTCTGCTCTACTTCTCGTTCGATTCCTGACACGTTGACTAACCCAACCCCAACGTCCTCCACCGGTTTACATGTAAGCTCAAATCAAGTACTTCCGGCTGCTTGGTGGACAGTAAGAGGTGAATGTCCTCGTAGTTAGCCCCTCCGCTTTTTCTTCTTCTGGTTGCCCCGAAGTTTCTTTTCCCGTTTTCTTCTCTCGCTTTGACCCTCCGTAGCTTTCTGAAACGAACTCCATCTGATGAGCGTTGTTTTGGCCTGTTATCGCTGTTACCATATCATTGGAGACTTTGGATCTTTGCAGCTCTTCGGCAACATCCTGTGATCCACAGAAAGCAAGCAAAGAGTAGGACTTCTTACGCGTACAAATCATCCGTATCGTATGGTCCTCAATCAGTTGATCAAAGTTGGGACGGCCAAAGCGAATGGCTCCGTCTTCAAACAGTTGAGTTGAAGAAAGCTCTTTGCGCAGAAGCTCACATGCTGTTTCATCCTCGTCTGTAACGTAGACTGAGATTTTGCAGACTTTTGAGGCGTTCTCTCTTCCCCATTGCTCAGCCAACGAGTCCCAAATAGAATTGATATCAGGCATGAGCTCTGGAGGTGGGTGCGTGAAGAAGGGTGAGGACGCCGACAATTGATGGATAGCACTCAGAAGCGTTCTCGTCGACATACCTGATACTAATGAGGCCGATCTAGATACCCAAACGATGTCGAGTCCTTCCATGGCACCACCAATGACATCCGTCGAGACGCTTTTGCGCCAGGATTTGTTATGCGGTTTCACTGCCCGACTCCACAATCTCGCTGTCATATAGCCAGTCAACAAACAGAAAGTAGTAACGTCGCTCGGGGTCAACTTTCCAGTGTCATTGTTGTCATATTGCAGCCACCAATACCAGTCCGCAAAAGGGGCAATTAGGCATGTTACCGTGTCCGTATATGCTAGCAGGTCATTGAAGTCCCATATGCATATCGTTGTGAATGCGAAGATCACTTGGAACACAAACGTAGATGCTTGCAGAACGAGTTTTATTGCATCTCGTTGGTTCGCGCTACTTGTGTTCACTGATATTGTCATGCCAATCACAAACACTCCGATGGCTGGCAGTAATGCGAGCAAAACAACTCCATAAATTGACCTGGTAGCTTGAAAGGCCTGGGACTTCAATCGTTGCTTGCTAGCTCTTACATCCTTCCATCTCAGCCGTCTTTCATGCATCTGAATCTTTCGTGCAATCACTGTTGCTAAAGAGTCATCCGGACCGACTGCAGCGTTTGTGGCCGCGTCCAGAATGTCAGGTCGTCGTTTGCACAGCGCAACACAAGCATTTGCGGCCCTTAGCGCAAGCGAACCCTTTCGTGCGGCCAAAGCCCTTTCTGCAGCTACAATCTTCTTACTGTGGTTCTCAAGATCCTGAAAGTGACTCCATGGATCCAACCGCAGCAGTTGACGCACATGTTGCTTATACAATGAGAGAATTGGAACAATTCCGGTTCCGGTGCCAATAGCTAGAGCATGAGAAAAGTCCTCTGTTTTTGCTAAGGATGTCCCACAAGGTCCCAAAATATCCACATCGATCTGCCTCTTGCTGAATCCACTGTCCCCGTCCCCGTCTAAGAGACGCCAAAGACTATCCGTCCAAGAACCATTCTTCATCACTTCCACATAAAACTCTAACTGTGAACTCGACGCTCCCGAAGCAATCGAGTAAGGATGCCACTGTTGATCAATCGATGGAATACGAAGAAACGCATATTGACCTGGGTGCAGCAAAGAGCGATATGTAAGCGGCAATACTGCCATCATGATAACCGTGACAAGCACTTCCCGGACTTACCTGGCTTGAAATCAAAGAGTGCAGGACGACGAAGACGAAGGATAATCATCCTCGACCCATTTCCTCCTTCAATTGTGGATGAAGAAACAAGGCCGGCCTTGTAGCGATGGTTTAAATACATTGCCGCTCGGTCACAAAAGTAGTACAGCAGTGTTGCCGAGAACCATTTGAACGTCTGGGAGCGGTTTGCCTCGTGATTACGCTGTTTGTCGTCGAGTGTATGGGCGATTGTGATTGCGTACATGATGAAGACCAAATGATGCACTCCGTAGAACACCTCATAAGGAATTCGATTTCGGAAATATGATGTCCCTAGCAAGATGAGAATCGAAGCGAAAATTCCATAACCAGTACACATGATCTCCGATGTGAGCTTGGCACAGATGGCCTCTTCACCATTCGCACACAGCGTCCCAAAGAAGATAAAGAAGAGAATGGTGGAAAGAACCAAAAGAATGCAGATTGTGTATCCTAGATGGATGTGTAGGCGGATCATTCGATTCAAGGGGACCACACTGTTGACCACAGATTCCGACAAGCCAGCGATGGTATAGCGACACATGGTGAGGGGTATCAGCGCCATCTGAAATAGAACAGCGTGCATGGTACCAAACTCGATAGGAGGTACTATTCGCTTCCACCAATAAAACGGCGCCCCTTCTGGCACTGCAGCAGCCTTTTGATCAAACTTGATCAAGAAGAAGTGTGCTGGATAAGAACAAGGATAAGAAGCAGATGGTAAGAAATGGTTTTTACAGCGCCAAACAAATAAAATGGATTGGCTACGGACTCTTCAACTTACCAAAAATCACCATTGAGCACATAAAATGCGCACAAAAGAAGGTCAAAAGCTTGCGCTCCCCATACAGGTAGATCATGTATCTCACGATGGGTCCGGGAGATAGATATTGGCGAGCCTTTTCAAAAATATCCCTCTCAGTCTGTTCATCTTCCTCCTTCGATCCATCGTATCCATCTCCTGTCCATTGTGAACCGAAGTCAGATTCAATTGATCGCTCATCAGGAAACATATCAAGAGGCATTAGATCACCTCCCGAGGCATTGCTGGATCTGATAGATTGTCGTGACGGGGTACTGGTACCAAAGCTTTGCTGCTCTTTGGTGCTACTGAGCACCTCGACAGCGATGCTCTCGTCGTCAAAGAATTCTGCACCTGAAATTCGTTTCTTTAGTGGGCTCATTTTTGTTAGGTTTCTTTTATGTGACACAAATACAAAATATAGACTAGAAGGATGAATGCAGTCTGTTTGCCAAGCAATGCCAACCGAGAACACAGGACCTGGTGAGTGCACTTGCTTGCAAGCAAGGGAAATTCTGAATTTGGATCGTTTTGTGGCACCGAACGTTGATAGTTTGAGAGAGATCCGTGCACTTAGATAAGTGTCACACAGGCGCTAAGGTAATTAGGCTGGCCGTTTGACAAATAGTCAGCCGAACTCTTTCTAACGGGTGTCACATGTTGGCGCAGACTTACCGTTGCCTCATGGAGAGTTAAATTTTGGTTTGGTTGTGGCCTCGTGGCCTCCAGCCTGGTTACCGTATGCCGTATGTCATACCATCGTAGCACGGGACTGTTGACTTGAGGACAAGGTTTAGTTTAGATCATTTATCTAGCTAGCTTGCTACCGGGCAATGTTTGGGACTCTGGAGTACGTACCGGTACATGTAATCAATAATACATACATCGTCTAGTAGCAGTTGACATTATCCAGCTTTCGCAACTAAAAACCTAAAGCGCACAGGTTCGCCATCCACCCCACCGTAACATGACAACATGCTCGACTCATCCAACACAAGACGGTCCTCTGTATTTTTGTACTTGTCCTGTACTTGAGAGATGACCCTTTTAGCTAATAAAGGAGGCACAACTTCACGATCGCAACCACTGCTGTCTTTGGCATCAGAAGCCTTTTGTTTCTCTCCTTCCCGAACCTCCTGTCTAGCCATCTTTTCTTCGATCAGGACTCTTACTTTGTCCAAAACCTCTCTACTCTGGAATTCAAACATCAATCCTTCTTCATAGTTTGTCACCAACATGAGCCAATGCTTGTCATGGTACCGTTTGCTGGTCTCAAGATGCAGGACAGATTTCCACCGAATTTTGTATTTTAGCCTTTCCTGAGGGGCACCAGGTGGTGAGTGAAAGATCATACCATGGTTGACTAATGCCAATCGACCTCCCTCAACTTGCCACCCCTTGAAGGCCACATCAGCAAACAAAAAATGGCCTGAAGGCGGCAGTGGAGTTGAGAGCATCGCAAGGCCTCTGGGAGAGCAACCCACTTCGTGAAGATCACGAGGATCAAATGCAATTGTGCTAGTTGAGTCATTGGATTTCGGTCTTTCTCCCATGTCCAAAGACATCTTTTCCTTCATCAGTCCCTTCACATTGTCCAATACCGTTTACTCCGGAACCCAAATACCAATTCTTCATCATGTTTGGTCATCAACTTGAGCCAGTACCCGCGTGAGTTTCCTTTGTTGGTTTTCAGCTTGACCAAAGATTGCCAACGGACTTTTTTCTTTAGCTTGTCCTTAGGAGTACCAAGTGGTGAGTGAAAGATTATGCCACGGCTGACCAGTGCCAATCGACCTCCCTCAATTTGCCACCCCATGAAAGCCACATCAGGGAACACAAAGGTGGTCAACGAGGATTCAGTTGAGAGCATGCTCTGGTCTCTGGAGCATTCATCTGCTTGTTGAAGATCATAAGGATCAAACGCAAATGAACGACAGGTAGATTCATTGTTAGAAGTACTATAATCTCCTTGTTCCATCATTTGTTGGCCGCGTCCCCTCTCAAGTTGCTTTCGAAGCTTTTCTTGTTTGTTTTATGCGATGTCCCCAGGAGGAGCATCGAACTGTCACAGGAACTTGCTACCGTACCAGTGCAGGCACAAGGAGTGGTTCTCGAAACAAACAAATGCCTGGCTGGTGTAAAGTACTTTCTGGTGGCTACACAAGATCTTAGATGGACTCAACGGGATGATATGCAGCAGTGACAAGGCTGACAAGTCCTGTTGAACTTACTTGGTATGGTGCTGTATGACCAAGGGCATACCGATAGCATCTGCTCACACCGGTACCGGTTTGCACAGCAGCAATAATGTCGCTGGTCCCACAAAAACAACGTAGTGCCTATGCTAATAAGAGGGGCCCAAAGAACTGTGATTGACTCGACTTGACTCACTCGACTGCTACTGCGCAAACTCGACTCGACTCGTCACTCGTCGCTCCATAATTCGATTCATCATTCATTCGAATGATTCGATTCGATTTGATCGATTCGATTCGATTCGATTCATCATTCGTTCCCCCTTGCCGGTGGGTGTTCTGTCCTTCCACGTGGAAACGCGAACTGACGTTATTTGCATTTCTTTTGGCCAAGATGAACCGAAGATGACAACGGGGCACCCCTCTTGAGATCTTGATACTGGTACTTCGCTGATACCCAGAGCAGCACAGAGATTGTACCTGTGCTTCGAACGGATACGGCCCTCTTCTCCGATTGCAAAGATCCGTAGTGCATTCTTTCTGGCTTGCGAGAAGTCTCCCTGTTGTAGCTTTCAATTGAAATCCTTGTTGGGAGAAGAAAAAAATGCTGCCGAATCTTCTATTGAACCGCGGATTCATGGCAGTGAAGCCGACGACAATTTTCAGGGCATCAACAAGGAGTTTTTCCGCTTTGATGAGTCGACAATATCTACAATCATCGACTTTGGTTGCTTTTCCCGTTGCCAGAGCGGGAAATCAAGGCCCAAAATGCCTCGCTTCTATGCAGCAACGTTTCTACTCCCCCATGACCAAAGAGGAAGAAGAAGCGGAGAAAAATCGTGTCTCTAAGTTATCCGATTTCAAAAAAGAACAGGAGCTGCGAAAACTAAATCGAGAGATTCTCAGACTCAACATGCTGAGAGGCATCAACACTGGAGAATTGTATACCATTCGTGGACGATACAAGCTCCTACTGCAAGAATATGGAGTTCCAATGATGGTCTGGTACGGTGCTGTTTGGTTGACAACTGGATCGGCACTGTTTGTGCTAGCCGAAGTGGGTGGAATGGATACCATGGCGGTGCTAGCCTATGCGGACCAATACACCGGTTTCGACATGGTTAGCAGAGTGGATCCCACATTGGGAAAATTGGGCATCATCCTGATCTTGAATGAACTGTTGGAACCAGTGAGATTACCTTTTGTGGTCTTGACAGTCAAGCCAGTGATGGATCGGCTTTTCCCACCTAAAGTATAGTACAAGGACAGGCAAAGTGCTGGCTGGTGTTGGGTTGGCAACATGGACGCACTCTACATGTAGAACCGTTTGTTCTCATTGTATCACAGAAAAAGAGAAGATAAGCCAAGATACCAACCAGAATAACTCCGCTGAACCATATTGTAGCATCAACGCCTCAACAGTAGAATGGGCAATCTTGTCCAGATAAAACGTCTCTTTGTTTCGGTCGTTTGAGATAATGCTGGATTGGTCGAGACATTTAAAAGCTGCATTATTGGAAGTGGCTAGGCTATCAGTGCATCTACAGTTGGTGGAGATCGTTGGTTCTCCAGCAAACTGGGTACAGTACCAGTCAGAAAAGGGTTGTTCGAGAGGGAGTGGTTAGGCCATCAGTGCAGGTACCACCGGTACCGTACGGTACTACCTCTACAGCTGGTGGTTTGTTCTGTAGCAAACTGGTACCAGTGTACAGCAAGCCTTTACCGCGTGCATACCTTGGGGTCCACCCCACCTGCTGCCCTTCCTGGCCCATGCCGGAAGCCAAAGCGAAACTGTAAGCTATAGTTCCTTTTTAAGTTGCTTAGCATCCTCAAGGGGACATCTGGAGTCCAAGTACCGGTACCTGCAAACCACTTGTTACTCTCTCAGTTGATCTGAGGTTTTCAAGGGAATGCTGTTGGGCAACATCCACGAGGCATCATTCCGGTGGGTGGAGCTTGGTTTTACAGGAATCACCCTCAAGCTTACTAGTATGTATACTGAGTCGGACTGACATGGTTGAAACTCTAGCTCCAAGAACTGAAAGGCACCTCATGTGGAAGACGAGGATGTTATCGGTCGTTTATGCTTTGAATGGAGTGTACGGTACAAACAAGATGGATGGCACAATGACAAGGCCAAATACACAATGGTAGGTTCTTAAATGTTTACTTCTGTGGGTACGAGAATAAGCATGGCAGGCCTGCCCTTCGTTGTTGCTCTGCTACCGTACGGTACCACAGATACTTTACGGATGATGTGTTCCAACCTCCACTTGCGTCCATCCATGAATGCACCAGCCAGCTTTAAAAGCTCGCCAGTCCGTTGTCGCTGCTCGCCAGCCCGTTGCTGCTATTGCGGTTTTTGAGAATTCCAGCCAATGCCCCAGAACATAGGACCACGGGAAGCTTGGCAGCCGGGGTACCAGGATGAGAAACGGAGGGTGCCGGGTTGATCCGATTAGCACACGTGATATGAGCCCTCTTGTCGCATTGGGGGTTGCCGCATTGACATGACTTCATCAAGCCGTAGGCATCTTTGAAACAAACACTGCAGGTTGTTGCTGGTGGCACTGCATGCTGACTATCCAGTAGATCCGATGGCATTCTCAAGGAAAACGAAGTGTCCGACTCTCCACGAGCAGAACCATCGGGACTGACCCTGCTGTTCGAGTTGGCGTCCGTCAATGTATGTTTGCTGTTATTGTCGTCGTCATCGTTGTGCTGGTCGTTTTGGAGGCTGGCTTCAATTCGTAGACTTTGGGCATCTTTTTCGGCGAGGAGCAACGATTCTCGAAGACGCTCCTTATCTTCTCGTGCCGTCTCTTGCTGCGTCACCAGTTGCTCGTGCAGATTCTTGTTTGCAGCTTGAAGCTTTTCGATGCCTTCATTGAGACTTTCCAATGTCTCTGAATTGGCTGCCGCCGACGTGACATTGACGAGCAGCTCCTGAGCCTCTCGTAGCTCTTGTTCCACTTGCTGATTGCGTTCTTTTCGAGCAACCTCGAGCGCATCTCGTTCTTCCAAGGCAGTGGTCAATTTTCGCGTTTGTTCGGTTTGATCGGCGAGCTGTCGTTTCAGATCCGTCGCCTCCTCCTGCAATTCCTTTGCCTGCTTTTGCCATTCGTCTGCTTGTTCCCGCAATTGTTTTGTTTCCTTTTGGGATCGTGCCAATTCGGTTTCGACCTGCAACAGTTTGGCCTGTCCATTTCGTGCCTGTTTGGAAATTTCTTCTTGTTCTTCGTGCAGAACTTGTGCCGCTTGCTTGGTCTGTTCGACGACGATTTTGAGTGCTTCCAACTGCGTAGCCAATCCTTCTGCCGATACTTCGGCTTGATCGGCATCGGTTCGTGCGGATGCCGCATTGGCCGCGGCGATTTTGAGTGCTTCAATCGTCCGTTCAAAGCGAAGTGCCGAGGCAGATGTTTCCTCTCGCAATGTTTCATTGGAGGCTGTCAAGGCTGCCACTTGGGCTTGTGATTCTTCCAGTTTCTAACGTTGCCAAGCAGTTGTTAAAAAAAAAAGACAATGAGTTTTGTCTGAGGAAACACAATCACGGTAGTCTCACCATACTCTCATGATCTCATGATGTGTTTGGAGAGAATTGACTTACCTGCTGAAGAATCACCAATTCCTTCGTCTTGTCCTTGGCAATGTCCGAAACAGCCTTGTCTCGATCCTTTTCGTGCTGCGCGTCATTGCTGTTTTCGTCGCCTTGGACACGCTGTCGCTTGTTGGCACCCGTCGTGACGGCGTATCCCGTTGCGACATGTTGCATGGCATCATCCAAAAAGGTTTTGAGCATGGTTCCCTTGCGGACAAAGCCACCCCACGGAGCATGTTCGGATGACAGCGCCGAATTGTTGCTATTGTTGTGAGGCGTCAAAATGCCAGCGGCAATCTGACCACCGGCAATGAGGCGGTTACGGTGTTGTTTCAGCATGGCATTGGACACTTCGAGCTGATTATTGTCGTTTTTTGCGGCAGCGTTTTGGTCGTCACTGCTTTTGCTGCCTCTTGTAGTCGACGCTCCATTTTCCTTGTCGGTTTGAGCCACAGAAGGTGCCTGCTTTCGTAATGAGTTTGAGTGCTTGTTGGAGGAGGAGGAGGACGAAGCCTTTGGCTGTTGTAGTCCTGTAGAATGTTTACTGCTGGGACCTAGCACGTTCTTCTTGCTCTTTTTGCTGGTTGTCGATGTTTTGCCACTTCGACTCGAGTGTCTCTTCCTCAGATTCACCTCCATGTTTTCATCGTTTCTGACATCGGTCTTGTGACGATGGCTACGACTGCTTTCTTCCTTCGCTTGCTGCTGCTGCTGCTGCTGCTGCTGCGAGTTGCCTTGGGAGGATGAACGAGACCGATGTGGTTGGCGCAACGTTTCATTGGTCGGACCGAAATTGTTCACAGTAGGGTCGACTCGATACGTCGTTTGTCCTTCATTGTTAGACATATTCCTTGCTTGATTTTAGGCTCCTAGTGTGCTTTGACTGCAGATGGGATCTGTATTGAAAGGAGAACAAAGCAATGCTTCCGATTGTTACGCTATTTCGAGTGACAGTCTCTTGCACCAAGCAAGAATGCAGCGGCGGTGTGACGGTTGCTTTGAGGAGAAAATGTGAGCAAGAATGAAACGTTGCACCTCACCTTACTCTGAGCCACGATCGGGATTTACAATGCAATATTATTGTTATATGTATTTGTCCACAAAGGAAAAATGCCGCTTTGATGGCTTCGATCTTTGCATCCATTCATTTTTCCGATCATTGGCTGGCATGCTGGCATAGACCAATACTAGTAGTCTGCTGTGTTGGAGCTATGTTTTCGTCTTGTTTGACTCGAAGATGTCAATGGCATGCTGCTCGGTGTTATTCCATGAATCGCATTGGTAGTCAGAAGACAGTGCGTGATCTACATCAAAATCTATTTCCCACAGGAAGCCGTTCATCGCGAGTGACTTTCCCAGTGGCAATACCAAAAGAAGAATCCAGTGATGGTATCCGTGGCCTCCAGGCAACTCAGCTTTGTACATTTCCAATAAGGCACAATGAGTGTACTGGTATCCTTCCAGCATACACAAGATTCTTCTCCACATTTGCACGGAATGGTCGCAAGAACGGCAAGCAAAGACGAAGAAAACCATCCAAATCTACTGTTCATAATGGAGCTTCGGAACGAACAGTCCGTGATACCACCAATAAGATACTGCAGCTGGGCAATGCCGCTCGAACTAGCGCCATGGATGGTGGCGAATCGATATCCAATCTCCAAAGCAAAGTGGCGTCGAAATCGTTTTGGATGCAAGACAGCAAACAAGTTTTGGAATGGTGGTCACGCAAGGGGACTGTGCAAAGTGTGGACGTGTCCTTTCGACTGTTGGATGCATTGGCAGATCTCTCGGGTCTTGCAGCATCCGATACTCAGTTGTGGTCGTCACAAATCTTACATTCCAAAGTGCTCAATCAACTGTTACGAAACTGGCTGGTGGCATGGGTGAGCGACAACAACAATATTTATCAAGACAAGGACAACGACGAGACTACTACTACTTTCATCCTACCAACACCACCAGCCATGTTGGAAACGCTGGAAATTTACAAAAGAGACAGTTATACTACAAGCAAAACGAGGCAAAAGTTTCGGCCTGATTTGGAAAGCTACCAATTGCTCATGGAAGCAGCCTCTGCACGGGCCAGTGTCCACGTACCCACTGATTTTCAGGAATCCTTGGTCCGTCATCTCATGAAACAGCAAGACGGTAATAGTAATGATAATATCCAACCAGACCTGAAAATGATGGCCCACATTCTGCATGGATGGAGTACTCAAGGAAAGGCGGTTACCCCGCAAGAACTGAACACGGTTTTGGAATTGTTGAAGGAACAACTGGACAGAAACAATACAAACGACAACCACCGTTCTAAAAACAGCAAGGAGGAACCAGTGGATCTCTTAAATCAAGCCTTGTTTGCCATGTCCTGTACCAATTCCAACAGCAAGGATTCCCGCGACGCGGAGAAAATGCTATCCGTTCTAAACTACATGGAGACGACTATGGCTTCTGCATGCGAAGACGAACACGTGGGCAGGAGCATACATCCAAATGTGGAAACATACAACCTCGTGTTGAACGCCTTTTCGCGAGCTGGAAAGGCAGCCCAAGCCGAAATGGTGCTGCGGTCAATGGTGGATCGATACATTCAGGCTCACGACAACAATCCACAGCAACAGCAAGGGGATGAAGCAATTTCAACATCGTCACGTTCAAATGACAATGAGATTAAAGCCAACGCCAAACCAATCCCTAAGAGCTTCACCATTGTCATTGCGGCATTTGGTAGATCCGAAGAAAACCATGCTGCGGAAAAGGCAGAAGGGATCCTGCGATGGCAGCAAGAGTTGAACGCTAGTGAAGGACCGCTGCAGGGCTCCCTGGCTCCCGAAACGATTACCTTCAACAATGTATTCCGAGCTTGGTCGTGGCGTCGCAGTGATATTGCAGTGGAACGGTGCGAGAGACTCCGCAAAGAAATGTACCAAAACAATTTGATTCCCGATCATCATACCTATGGCCAATCCCTCAAGGCAATTGCTTTGAGCAATTTGAAGGAGAAGGGGCGGTATGCCGTTCAAGTGTGGAGAGAAATGGAGTTTCGAGGTATCGAAGCGGATTCGTACACTCGAGAACACTTTGAAAAGTGTGTAGCTCTGTCTGCCCAACGAGAGCAGCAATCATCTGCAGGTGGACGGAACAGACAGAGATCTCAAAGGGCGGTTTCAGCGGTTGCAAGGTCGACAAGATGAAATAAGTTAGACTAGCTATGATGTAACACCAAACAAAAATGTTGTTCTCTAGGTTCCTTTCCAAACCGCCCTAGTACCTGTACTAGCTAGTATATAAACTACTACTGTATGGGATTACATGGCTATTTAAAAGTGCTTGCGGCACCATGGTTTAGCTAGTGGCTACTACTAGCTAGAGTACCTCTAGCTAGTAGTAGCTAGCCCCACGCCCCACGGAAACTGCTACAAAAGTGCGTGTAAATGGCCGGCCACAAGACAACTAAATAGACTAGAATAAATAAAAGGGGTGGCCCATTGTGGCGCGAACCGAGAAGCCGCTGCTCGTGATTTTGCATCCCCACCGTCGGGTTCGCACTTGCAAGGGTCGGAACAAGCTCATAACCTGCTTCAAGATCTTTCGAAAGAAGCAAGAAAGGAACAACCAAGAGATGGAGAGAAGCCCACAAATCCAAAGAAGCACCAACCACCTTTCTTCCACGATCCATCTAACCCAAAAAACAAGAAACAACTCAGTTTCGTCTTTTCAACACCTTCATCTATCAATTTGTGGCTAATTAATTAATTAAAATCCAACAATGGCAGAAGCAGCACTTCGAGGACTTGGACGCGCCAGTGGCGCCTTGGCAGCGGGTGCTTTCACAGTCTCGCAATGTCTGTACAATGTGGATGGAGGCGAACGAGCCGTCATGTTCGACTCGTTGCGAGGTGGTGTTCAACAGTTTGTCAGAGGCGAAGGCACCCACTTTATGATTCCTATTGTCCAACGTCCTATTGTGATGGACGTTCGTACCAAGCCTCGTGAAATTCCTTCCGTGACGGGAACCAAGGATTTGCAAATGGTCAACATTAAGCTTCGTGTGCTTTGGAGACCCATTGTGGAAGAGTTGCCACAGTTGTACCAAGAACTCGGTGTGGATTTTGACGAGCGAGTCTTGCCCAGTGTTGGGAATGAAGTGCTCAAGTCGATTGTGGCACAATACAACGCCGAAGAACTCCTCAGTAAGCGTGAGGAAGTCTCCGCTCGCATCAAGGCGGAAATGCTCAAGAGAGCCAAAATTTTCCACCTTATTTTTGACGATGTGGCCATTACACACTTGACATTTGGCCGTGAATATATGAAGGCCATTGAAATGAAGCAAGTAGCTTCGCAGGAAGCCGAACGCCAGCAGTGGGTCGTCAAGAAGGCCGAACAAGAGCGACAAGCTGTAGTCACTCGTGCCGAGGGAGAGGCCGAAGCCGCCCAGATTATTACCGATGCCATGGAAAAAACTGGCAATGCCATTATTGAGGTGCGAAGAATTGATGCGGCCAAGGAAATTGCTGGAAAACTTGCATCCTCCAGAAACATTGTCTATCTTCCCAGTGGCGGTGGCGGCTCGGGTGTTGGCGGTAGCGGTAGTAGTGGAGGCGGTGGTGCCAATCTTCTGTTGGGAATTGATACCAAATAGAAGAAAGAAATTGCTGTGATGGAAAGATAGACGGTACAGTACAGTGCACTTGAAGGAACAAAATGGATGACCTGCTTGCATGATTTTGAAGGTTTGACGCAGTTGTAGTAAACGAAGGGATGCTAAACCAAACAATTAGTTACTTGTGGAAATTCGAGTTTCTTTTTGTGGGGTCGGTTGGCCGTTGTCACAAACCTGGTCGAACGCTTTGTCTTCATCTCCAAAGGGAATTGCGGTTCCGTGACAACACACATATGGAGCAGATTCGGACAGAGCACTTCGGGCCCATTTGCCGTACCCGGTGCATAGTTCTGTCTTGTTGTTCGCATCGCAAGACCATCCTGTTTCCAACAAGAAATATTCGACGTGAAGTTGTTGCAAGTTTCAAATTCACGGTAGCTGAGTGTAAATGTGTTACTCACCGAGATACCAGTACACGTACATGTACCTATTGGCAGGAACAATGGACACGGTGAGTCTCCAGGTGCATCATGGTGCTGGTGTTCCATAAGAGCACACAGCCAGTTATACTCACTAACCCTGTACTTCTGGATGTGCTTCACACCATTCCACGATGGTAAGACACTGTGAGTCCAACCTGAGGTAGCCCTTGGTTTCATCATCCTCCAATTTCCCAGTCGCGAGAACCTCTTGTTCAACAGCGTCGGCAAAAGTGACCGGGTTTTGTGGAGGTTCAGGCCACGCTGGACATGTCCCCCGATGGTCCACGTATAGCTTGACTAAATGTGGAATGCCCCTTCGATGCCATATCAGCGTGGAAAAGGGACCAAACGCCAAGAAAGCAGTTGTAATGAGGGTGAACCAATGGAGCCCTTTCTGCCCGTAGACGTTACCAACACTTGTGGGAAGAATGAACACAAGGCCTTCATGAGCAGCATCATTGTGAAATCAATCGCAGAAGCACCAAACATCCTATTTTACATGAAACCGAGTACCATAGTCAAAGAATTCCGACTGAGAAACGGCATTCACACCACGTACAGAGGCAGGATCTTTCGTTGGCTAGTTTCATCTGCAGTGAATGCCATCGGCATCTGACTGCGGCGCGAACTGCGGAAAGCGATATGGATGGCGAGGACATCTTGATGGAAGGCAAGATTGGGGATGGGTGTCCTACGTGCCGCGGTGATGATGAGGTTGTCACCATGCACCAGGCTCAAGTCTACTACCGGGGGACAGAGGATGATCCCGTTGTCATTGACGAGTAGAAACTAAGGCTCTAGTATCCACTTGATCGTTTCCACTGAGCTTTTTTACAACTCAACGGTTTTAAGTTTTCAAATCCACGTTCCACTCCACGCTACAGTGATGACAACCAAGCTAGGTTAAGACTCTACGACTGTTGACAGGGCAGAAAGTGTTAAACCTAAGCGCTCACAGAGACGGCTACGGGTGTTCTTCAGATTCTTGGTGTGCATCAGTTAGGCGCAAAGGTGGAGGAAGCAGAGAGCACAGAAAACAAAGAGGAAATGAAACCCAAGCACCCCGAGGAGAAAAACCTCCCGGGCGAGGGGGAGGGACCGAGCGGAGAAGAAGAAGAGTGGTGTGAACCTTGCCACAGACCTCATGGCGGCTACAGAGTCACCTATGGCTTCCGCCGCTGGACGCCTTGCCCTAGCTGCGATGGGCATCAACCTTGTGGAGGCAGGAGACACGGTGGTGGAGGTTGTTGCAGCAGCGGCAGGCCGTGGCAGACTCACTACTAGCTAGGAGCACTGCGGGGGCGGGCAGAGGCTCTAATAACTCACTGAGCCATGCTATCTAATAGTGCAGCCAAGAATGGAGTAAAGTTACCAAAACTAACCAACCTTCAACTACAATTTGTCCAAAGATCCAAAGAGAGATCTAAAGATACTGATTGTGACAGAAGCCAGCAGTACCGGTACGGTACGACTACCGTCCAGCATTGGTGCGCTTTTTGAAGCTAGGAGTGAAGAAGGACGACGACGACGACGACGAAGAGAACGATAATGATCAAGAACAAGCAGAAGCACCGACCCCACCTCCTGTCGAAGCGGTGACAAAGCAAGAGACTTGTGCAACTACAAGTGAACCACCACCGTCAACACCTGCGGCGCCGCAATTCGGGGGTTTCATGTATTCCTGATCTTACTGGCGTCGTCCACTTTGTGGCCAACAAAATGCGTCTCGCAGACCAGAAATATCTTTTGGATGGCAATGACCCAAAGATGCTGATTGTGCCATGCATGACTCTAAAAGAAGCAAATGAGTGGAGAGGTGAAGGGTACCAAGCTGTGGTTTTGGCGGGCCTTCCGGACCTGACTGGTTCAGCGCCTCCCGCACGACGCCGAAAAACTCCCGGCAAGGGCTTTTGGAAGGGCAGCAATGAACACGAATGCTTTCCTCGAAAGATATGCGGCCACTCAACTCAAAAGGTGACCCCTGCACAAGAAATGCAAATGCTGGAAAAGGCTCGCATCGGTCTACAGGAGGCTGTGTTGGGTCTAGCGCACTACGCCAAGCAAATGGCGAGTGATGCGAAAAAGGGTCTCTTGGAGGGTTTGCAAGAAAGTACGATTGAAACGTTTGAGTCCATTGGAACATCTTTGCCTAAGGAAGCCCAGTTCCAAAGGCTCACGCGAATCCTGAAAAGCCTGTGTTGTTTGTCAAGTTTGGGTCCTTGCAAGAAGTGCCAAAGGACCTCCATCCTGCTCCGGATCCCGAACTTTTGTTGTCGAAGGCAGCTACGATATGGGGAAAGATGACTAATTTTGCAACGATTGCTAACGGGAGTATGGCCGACGATGAGGAGGAGGAGGATAGTTTGGGAAGTAGCAGAAGAGGTCTTCTATGAGAAATATCGCAACAGCAGCGCACCTCCAATTCCAATGGAGATTTCGGTTGTCTCTCCAGGAGACCTAGTCGAGCCCGCCGTTGGCCGTGCATGATCTGGTTTGATGATTGCCACTTGCAACACGACAACTAGCAGAGGAGTTTATGTCACTGGACAACACAACGGGGGGAACTGAAGTGTGGTGGATAGATAATT